GGAGCTCCACACAGGGCTCGATCCCAGGACCCTGAGATCATAACCTGAGCTGAAGTCAGACGCTTCACCGACTGAGCCATCTAGGCGTCCCCAGAATCATTTTTCTTACCAAAATCAGGTGTTGGGTTTGCACCTGATAGATGTAAGTGGCCATACCAACCCTACCAAACCATGGCATTTTACTTTTTAAGTGTTTAGACAATCTGTAGAAAGAGATTAGGATTCCACTCGACTTTTCTTCCTAGAGTATGTACTGGGGGATATAAGGAATAGTTGCTTATATTAGTAGTGTATCTGTTTCTTAGAAAATTCTCTCTTTTGGATGAAGAACTTTGGTAGTCGCCAGTTTCTAGAATCTTTTGAACTAGAAGGGACCACAGAGTGCACGGGCCACCTCTGCCTTCAGTATGGCAAAACCGAAGGCCGTGGGGACGCATACCCTCTACCCTTATGAGGACTCCTAGCCTGCCCTGTTCTAGTAATTTCACCATCGAGTTTTATTGCTCTGTCAAGCCATTTTTCCTGATATTCAATCAAAAGCTCCTTTAAGTGCATTTTTCATATACCAGATCATCCATAGTGATAGAAATACACTTAGCATCATCCTTCTCAGACACATCTCTCCAATTTTGCCTCTCTTTGCTCTCACTGCCACTATCTAATTCAGATTCTGATTGTGTCTCATCTAGACTGCAATCCCAGCTCCCAACTTTCTAAGATCTTTGCTACTATTGTCTTTCCATTCAATGTTGCTTCCAAATTCATAGTCCTGGGAGGTATGTGTTCCTTACCATTAAAATGCCTCATAGGATGGTGTCCAGGCTTGTCAGTTTCATGGTCTGGACCATATGTTGGAAAGTATGTTCTGTTGAGAATGGAGTTAAATCCTGGGCGCCTGGGTGGCTCAGTCATTAAGCATCTGCCTTTGGCTCAAGTTGCGATCCTGGGGTCCTGGGATCAAGCCCCGCATTGGGTTCCCTGCTCAGCGGGAGGCTTGCTTCTCTTTCTGTCTCTCTCTCTCCCACTCCCCCTGCTTGTGTTCCCTCTCTGGCCGTCTCTCTCTGTCAAATAAATAAATAAAATAAAAAATGTTCCTTATCTCTTAAAAAAAAAGAGAGAGAGAGAGAATGGAGTTAAATCCTAAAATATCAGTGGTGTAAATAAGAAAGAAATCTACTTCTATCTCATATAAAAGAAGACCAGAGGTAAGGCAGGCCAGGGCTCAGAAGGTAGTTCCACAGTCTTAAGCTCATTCTGTTGTGCTGCTCTGCAGCTTAGAAAACACCCTTGTCCTGTGGCCTCTGGGACCAAGATGAGTGCTTGAGGTCCAGCTGTCACATCAACATTCCAACCAGCAAGAAGGAAGAAAGAGGGAAGGCTGGGCCTCCATCTTTTAAGGACACTTCCTGGAAGTCACTTACAATACTTTAACCTGCGTTTGATTGGCTAAAACTTAGGCACATAGGCTATCCGTAGTTGCAAGAAAGCTGAAAAATGTAGTCTTTTAAATAGTTTACCCAGCTAAGAATTGGAGTCCTTGTTGCCAGGAAAGAAGAGACTAGATCTTGGGCAGTCACTAGAATGTCTGCCGCAGGACCTTTCCACCAGCCTTGTTCCTCTCCCCACCCCAGAGCCTTCTTACCCAGCCCTTTATCCTCAGCCCGTTAGTGGCTACAGTAAATCTCTTACTAGTCCTTTACCACGTCAGGCCCTTTCACAACTCTGGGCCTTTACCTGCAGTGTCCTTTCACTTTCTCATCTTTCTCACATCTGTACGTCCTTCAAGCCCAGGTCACTCCCTCAGTGCAGTTTTCTTATCTTCCTAACAGTGACAACATAATACTAATTCCTGGAGCCACGTAGCAGTGGAAGAGCTTTCTGGACTTAGTAGTGGAACACACTTGGGTTTGAATCTCTTCTCCCCATAAATATGGAAGGACTCAGCATATAGACTGTGTTGAAAGCCACAGCCCAGACCTCTCTTTTTGAGTTCCAGACCTTTCTTTTGAATTGCTTACTCAAGAGCATCAAATAGAAACACCTCTGAAGTAGAACTCGTGGTTTTCACCTCCTCCTCTAGTCTTTTTTGGGCCAGTAAAGATGCCTCTATCGACCTAGCTGCAGATGTCAGAAAGCTGGAAATCAGCCCTTCCCTTCTCATAGCTCATGATCCATAAGCTCTCCTATCTGATCACCACCAAAATCTATTAGCTCAACTCCACAATATGTCTTAGGTTAATCCTTTTCATTCCATCTGCAGGGCCTGCATCATAGCACGATCCTCGCACGTCTGGACTGCTGCGGTAGCTCCTCGCTGGCCTCCCTCCCTCCGCTCTCCACCTGTTTGAACCTCTCCTCGGGCAGTGTCACTTTCGCGCACAGAATCCTTAGCCAGCTTCCCCTTGTATTTAGGTTTCAGTTTAGGATGCGTAAATCCTAGAAGACCCCGGCTGACTTGACTCCTGTTACCTCTCATCCTTATGCCTTGCCGTGCCTGTTCTTATGCTCACTATGCTCTGGCTGCGTGGTTTCTTTCTTTCCCACGTTTGTGCCAAGAACCTCTCACCTCTGCCCCTTCCCAAGTGCCATTTCCCACCTGGGGTCTTCTGTCCCCTTCTTCACTCCTGAACACACCATCCTCGGGCGTCAGCTTAAATGGCACTTTCCTGCAGGGCCTCTTTTCCTGACCTCTTAATCTAAATTGTATATTGAGAAAACTCTTCCTCCTTAGAACTGTTCTTTCCTTCTTAGCCTTCATCACAATTTATAACTTTATGTTTATTGAGTGGTGGTTTATTGAATATCACTTGCACATTAAAGTATATGTTGTGTAAGGGATGGAGCCATATTTCTTTTATTCACTGAATCCTTAGTGCCCATTGCTCAGTAAATACACATGGAATAAATGAATAAATGAAGAATCTCATGATTAAACAGTGTGGTAGATCTTTCATCAAACTGACAACTTTGCTATTAGTGTAGCAAGACGTAGTTGTTGGAAACCTATGAAGGTGATTCACCTTTCTAACCTGGCATTGCGTTTCTTCACCTTCATTGAATGTATCTATGATGCTCACCTGCAGGGCTAAAAGCTTCAGTTTAATTTATTGGAATGCATCTTTGAACAAAGCTTTGTTTCTGTCAGGATATCCTTATGAACACAGAACTTGAAAAGGTCATGTGCAGGTGTGATATCTGAAAATCACAATTGGGCTCACTTCCATGGCTAGCCTTCTTTCTTTGATGCAACTGATGCAACCTGGCATAACTTTCGGAACAGAAGACTTGCTTGTTGTTGGGATGGGATCTAAAGCAATAGTCATTTTAAGTTGGAACCATCAGTGACTGTGATAGAAGGTTACATGCCCAGGATTTGGGCTGCCTTAGAAAACCCCCTTGATTGCCAACTCTCGAGACTGAAAGTTCAGCTAGCAGATATCTAGCTAGAGTGTACTGGTTCATGGTATTTCCAGCCTCCTAATCTTTTCTGAATGAACTTGTTCTGCAGAACACATTGGCAAGATATGTTATGGAGCAGATCAACAACTTGTGTGGTTTTTTTTTCTCCCCCAGAGTATAAAAGATGTTCTGGAAGCATCTAATGATCTTGGAATCCTGAACTATGGTCTAAAATAAAAGATGGATATCTTCTTTTACTGAGGGACAGGGTGATCAACAATGGGAAAATTTTCGTTTTTTTTTTTGTTTTTGGAAAACAGTGAGAATTCTGCTTTCAGTGGGCACTATAGTAGGCATATTTCAGCCTAGATGGAAAAGCAAACAGTTGATCATTCTTAAGCCCCAGTAGGTCAGATCATGTCAGTGTTTCCAGAGTACGCCCAGAATGGTAAAACTTGGCCTTAAGCTGAGCCTTTGCTAAGAGGCTGAAAAGGATTTTTTTTATTTATTTTGGCCTTGGTAATGTCTAAATGATGATAAGTACAAGTCTCTCTTAGCTATCTGGAGTGGGGCCCACATGAATTTGTTGTGACCCCTAGAATCCAGAAACTCCAGTATAGTTGGATAAGAATATTCTGTGGGAGAGCTCTAAAGTAACACATGAAAATAGAAAATATTAAATGTTCAAAAGTGTATAATTTGCTGCATTTGTTCATGAGTGGTTTTAATACTTCTGGTACAGAGCCTAACTCCCTCTTTATTGGGGAGATGTGGTTTCAGTTTCTTGGGTGAGTGTCCATTTTATAAGTTTCTTAAGAAAGGAAATTAAACATTTAAAGACTTTAAATACTCTTTATATAATGTCACTGAGAAAAGCCAGGAAAATCGGGCTTGGCTTTTTTATTTATTTATTTAATAAATATAATCTATTTTCCACCATTTTGTTTGTTATGGCTGGTACCAAAGTACTTTTAAAAGTTAACATTTATTTTGATTTCAGCAGATGTGCATAATAAATTAACCTATCTCTGTTCTTCACTGTGGGCTGGGGCAATATTTCACATCTAGTATGTTTGGCATTTTGACACCTAGCCCGTTGAGCTCAGTTCAGCAGTTTGATGCTCTCCACTTATATGACGCTTAGCATTTGAGTAACATTAAATAGATCAAATGTGGCCTGCTGAGCATGAGCATTAATGGAAGTTGGTGATGTGATTGACCTGAGCTAAGTCTCTTAACTACTGTGGGCCTGGGTTTCCTTTTCTGTAAAGTGTGTAGTTTAGGGTAAATGGTGCTCTGAACTTAAAAATCCCACCAGGAGCCTGGGTGGCTCAGTCTGACTCTTGGTTTCGGCTCAGGTTAGGATCTCTTGGGTCGGGAGACAGAGACCCGTGTTGGGTCCCTGCTCAGCGGGGAGTCTGCTTGAAGATTCTTTCCCTCTGCCCCTCCCCCCACTCAAGCTCACACACTCGCACGTGTGTGCTCTCTCTCTTTCTAAAAAAAAATTAAATCTTAAAAAAAAAAAATCCTATGAGTCTATATGCCTAATAGATATGCACCTAACTGATTCCTCCTCTCTTTTTCTTCTCTTCTTATTTTAGGAAAAGAGGATGCTGATGCTCCAGTTACAAAGGATGAGAGCACCTCCATGTCACAGGACCCAAGAGCTTTACCAGAGAAATCGCTGCAAAGATCAGCAAAGGTCATTGCCCACATTGCCCACTTTGCACATGTCCAAATGACTGTCACCTGAGCCACCTGTCAGGGGTATCTCATGCAGTTCAGTTAGGACTGTAGTTGGTCAGTTAATCAGAAAAGTCAGTGGGAGCAAGGAGTCATAAAAAGCTAATACTTTGTATAAGTTTAAAGACATACATATATGTTGATTTGCCTGTTTGGATGAAGGCCCGCAGCCTTTTCTTTGTGTGTGGTATGTTTATTGAAGTTCTGCATTATCTTTTTCTACTTAAACCACACTCGTAATGTGACATCCTTGATTGCCAGTTTGGGTTATGTAAAGTGGAGTGAGAATTTAGGCACCACGTGAAGCAATATGAATGCAGACTCCTTCTAGATTCTTAGTTTTTTGCTTCAACTTTTTTTATTGTTGTCACATCCATATCTAATTCAAAAGTAAGTTTTTAATGTCTTTTTTAGTTTTCCCCAAGTATTTAGTTATTGTAGACACAAAAAATTGCTTTTGCATCCTGTCTGTTAGTTTGCATAGTTCAATTTTATTTTTCAATTACGTATACTAGTGGCATATTCAGATATGGGATCAAACGCGGCTGACCCTGCTATGCAGGTAGCTCCTGGTAGAAGAAGTGGTTCAATAGGCGGTAATAAGTATGAAGCTTGCTCTCCCAGAGGCATCCTTCAGCATGCTCAGCATGAGGTGGTAGGGTTGCTGCCTCAATCTAGCAAGTGGGTTAGGACAGTACCTCCTGCATATTGACACGAGGAATTTCTAAATTATATTACATACATGTTACCCTCAACTGCCTATCCAGTTATTTTAATAAGCATTTTGAATACTAACCGTATGCCCATATACCAGGCAGCATGCTAGGAGATTGTAATGAATGGAAAGCCTGGGGGTTAGATCTGGCTTACAAACTGGTGTTTTGTGTGACCTGTGCAGCATTTAAAAGTTTTGACTAAGTAGCTTATTAAAAAAAAAAGAGAGAGAGAGAGAGACTTCTGGCTTCTCTTGACTAAACAAAACATATGGCAACACTGGGCCACATTCTTAAATGACTTGAGTTGGAGCTGAGTACAGGCAACCCTCTGTAGGTGGAACTTGTGTTCTGCAATTTGCTACTGCCCCCGCAATGGTACCCTCTCTCTTGCTGGGTTTGTTTGGGGTTTTTTGGGTAGTTTCTTAGTGAATTCAATCTAAAATCACAAGGCAAAGCAGCATTTGTATGCAAAACTTACGCTGTGATCAAGTCATTTCTACTACAACTAATGTATGAATCACAGGTAATGTCAAGCTGCTTCATACGCTTCTCATGCTGTCAGATATTAAAGCGAGAAGCAAGGACTTCTAGTTCAGACAAGATGGCATAGACTCGTTCCTCCTTGCTCTTTCCTACTAGTACAACTATAAGCCCTGGAAAATAACAGGAAGCAACCATAAGAGAATTCTGGAGGGTGAAGAGAGGAAGGCAAGTTAGTTAGGGACTCCTCTCTACTCCCCCAGAGGTAGTAGATGGCTGGGGAATGCCAGTAAGGAGGATCCTGCCACAGCAGGTATGTGATCCAGGAAACCTTTTTCCTCGTGGGTCTGAGACACTGCTTTCCCACCCAGAGACACTGGGCAGTCAGGTAGCACCAGGGTCCTACCACAACTAAAAACCTTAAATGGGAAGTTTCTTTGTCCCTGTATGGACATGGATCTGTTTCTAATCCATACTAGAGAGAGCAGGTGGCCAGCCTTGAGAAAGTTCTTTTTACCCCCTCAGGCAGTACCGGCAGAGACCAGCTGGAGCCCCAGTGGTTCCATGTCAACCAAATATCAAAATACTACTGCACAGTCTCTCCAAGTGAAATTGTCACTGGAACTAGAGCCCACAAAAGTAGTTCAGGACCTCTGTGCTAAAACAAGATAGGGTGACCCGCCTACTAAAAGAAAAGATTTTAGTAAGACCTTGAATCTCTAACATAATAGACAAAAGGTCCAGGATACAATAGAAAATCATTCATTATACCAAGGACCAGGACATCATCACTTGAGTGAGGAGAGACAACTAACTGATGCCAACACCAAGATGGTGCAGTTATCTGACAGTTATTTTAAATCAGCCATCATAAATATGCTTCAACAAGCAATTAAAAATTCTCTCAAAACAAATGAGAAAATAGAAAAATCTCAGCAAAGAAATAGAAGTGATAAACAAAGAACCAAGTGGAAATTATAGAACTAAAAAAATACGATAACAGAAATAAAATACTTGCAGGAGGGTCTCAGTAGTAGAGGTGACTCAGCATAGAATTAGTTAACTTGAGAACAGATCAGTAGAATTTGCCCAATCTGAACAGAGAGAAGATAGACTAGAAGAAGTGAACAGAGCTTCAGGAGGTTGTGGGGCAATAAAATAGATCCAGCATTCAGATAATTGGAGTCCTAGAAGGAGAGGATCATCAAGAGAGTGGGGCTTATAGATTGTGCTGATTGGGAACAGGTGAAAAATACCTTAGAGATTTTGAGTTCGGAGCAATGATTATTTAACACCAATGTGTGATGGGGTCCATCTTCCATCTGCATCATTGTAATTCTCTTCTGATGGACTCCATAGCTTGTGTTTGAGGTTGGAGAATAGCAGTGGGTGAACTGTCCCAGCATTGAGGATTTTTTAGGGTGGGTGCAGTGGAAGGGCAGGAGAGGTGAAGCATTTGATGACAGAGGCGAGAGGACTGGAAGTGATGGAACGTGATGTCCCTCTGCAGTAGGAAAGGATTCAGGCCTAAGAAGTAGCAGACAGCACGGAGAGCAGGCTGGGATCAAGGCACTGGTAGTCTTGATGTGGTGAAGAAGCCATGGAGGGGGCACAGGAGATTAAGGGAGCTGGACGACAGGTCAGTCTGAGATGGTCAGGATTGGACCTGAGGATGCTGAGTGGTGGCCGTGAGGATGAGTTGCCAAAACGGAATGGAATGCCACCGGGCAAGATAGTGGCTGAGTCATTCACTTGGAAATAAGCCAGTTACTAGTTACTAGTTACTCTGCAGTAAACTAGGAGGTCCACGGACGACAGTAACAAGAAGGGGACAGCCTGAACCATGGAAGGTTGCAGACATATGCACGAGGCTGGAAGAGTAAATGGTCTGGATGTGACAGCACAGGAAAACACAGACACCTCATTCAGGGGCTGTGTGTGGAGAAGGAGCAGCCTCTGTCCAAAGGGCCTGGGACAGACAAGCACATGTGAGGATGGGGTCAAGGGTTCCTGACAGAGGGCACAGCAGCTTGTTCAAAACAGAATGGTGTTTTCCAAGGAGGAAGGAAGGGTCAGGAGAACGTAGAGCCTATCATGGGCCTGAGATCTGCTGAGAGGACAGGTGTCCCTGGGGCAGAGGAGAGGCACGCTGACTGGTTGGAGGTTCTCAGTAGACAGGCTGAAGCCCCACGTGGAGTCAGAGGCACGAACAGGAGCGGCAGCCAGCTCACCAGCAGTCTGAACCTTTGCTCGGGGATCAACGTGCAGTGCTGACAAGTAATTCCAGTGAAGGCGTCAAAGTGTAGACTGTCCACAGTGGGAAAGGGAAGCAGTTCAGGAAGAAACATTTCCCAGGGTGGGTGAGGGGATTCACTTTCTTCAAGAATGCTTCTCTCTTGGTGGAAATAGTACGTCCTTGTAGTGGCGTGGGGGCCTCAGTCTTTGCCTAGTGAAATGAGAGAGTGGATTTAATGTTGGAAAGAAGGAAGGTGAAAAGGTTTCCAGCCTTTTTGTTTTTGTTTTTAGAGAGGGAGAGAAAGAGAGTGAGTGGCGGGGGGGGGGGGGGGGGGGAGGAGGGAGAGAGAGAACCTTAGGCAGGCTCCACACCCAGTGTAGAGCCCCACATGGGGCTCAGTCTCAACCCTGAGATCATGACCTGAGCTGAAATCAAGAGTCGGATCCCCAACCAACTGAATCACCCAGGCACCCCGGTTTCCAGCTTTTAAAGGCATAATAAAGACCAATTCCTTATTTATATTTAATAACATTTTTTAAAAAGCAACTGTTGTGTTGTTCATGTGAGAAAAATGTAATGCAGAGCAAATACTTGGAACCATACTTCCCTGCCAGAGTCTTACATATGTCCTTAAGACATAGATCTTAGTTATAAAAGCACTTTCATCTAATTAATCCTGTATTGCATGGTTTTCCTTGGATAGATATGCTCACTGGATACTAAGTTGTTGCAACTTAAATATGCATTACTTAGTGGGGTGCGTGGGTGGCTCAGCCGGTTGAGCATCTGCCTTTGGCTCAGGTCATGATCCCAGGCTGCTGGGATCAAGCCCTGCATCGCGCCCGGCATTGGGCTCTCTGCTCGGCGGGGAGCCTGCTTCTCCCTCTCCCTCTGCTGCTACCCCTGCTTGGGCTGTCTCTCTCTCTCTGTCAAATAAATAAATAAAATCTTTAAAAAAATATACGCATTAGGGGCTCCTGGGTGGCTCAGTCGTTAAGCGTCTGCCTTTGGCTCAGGTCATGATCCCAGGGTCCTGGGATCGAGCCCTGCATTGGGCTCCCTGCTCTGAGGGAAGCCTGCTTCTCCCTCTCCCACTCCCCCTGCTTGTGTTCCCTCTCACGCTGTGTCTCTCTCTGTCAAATAAATAAATAAAATCTTTAAAAATATATATATACGCATTACTTAGTCGTAGAGCATCACTGAGAGGCACTTCATCTGGACCTAGAAAAACTGCTGGGCCCAGCTAGTTGACCAAATAGTATCTTGCTGACTTCTCCTAACTGTTATCCAGTCCTATAGGTAAACAACATTTGACTATATCTTTGGTGTTTTCAGGTGGTTTACATCTTGGAGAAAAAACATTCCCGGGCAGCAACTGGCTTTCTCAAACTTTTGGCTGATAAGAACAGTGAACTGTTTAGGAAATATGCCTTGTTTTCTCCCTCGGACCACCGAGTGCCTAGAATTTATGTGCCTCTCAAGGACTGTCCCCAGGACTTTGTGACCCGGCCTAAAGATTATACCAACACACTGTTCATCTGCCGCATCGTGGACTGGAAGGAGGACAGCAATTTTGCTCTGGGGTAGGTGATCTTTGGCAGGAAAAACCACAGAGTCCAGACAGAACTTATTTTAGTGGCCTTTTGGTAAACTCTTTTGTGTATTTTAATTATTATTTCTTTATTGAAACATGGGTACTTGGCATATTTGGGTCCTGGTTTTTAGAAATTGTTCTTAACTACCACTTTGGTCACAGGTAGAATTCCTTGAATTGCCAGAAAAAAAAAAATCACCTTTTTTTGTTTGTTTTTAGTTTGGGGCCTAAAACATAAGCACATTGTGAATCTCTACTTATTTCCCATTATGTCCTGAACCCTGTTTGTACTTGTGAACTGCGAAGGATTTATTGTATCAAACAATCAGACTCCTCCTTTCAGATGCTAGTGTTAAAATATGCAAAATTCCAGGCATTTCAGGGGACTCCAGTCTCTCATGCTTTAAAATATAAATATGAAGCAGCACGGTGGGGGTGGCTGGGTGGTGGAGATAAACCGGTCAGTGGTCCTGGGACCCCCTCGCAGACCTGTTTGGTGTCTTTCAGCTGTTGTCGCAAAAAGACAAAAAGCCGGTCTTGGACCTGGGGGAGGAGGATTTGTGGCCAGAGCTGCTAGATAGTGGCAGGATTGAGATTTGTGTCTGACTGATGCCAGCCAGACTGTCCTGGATAAATTCTGTGCTATGCCCGTTCCCATCCAGCAGCGGAACAACAATGTCTGCTTTCAGGTCACCCACGTGTTCTCCAACATCAAGACGGGTGTCCACTTTGTGTCTTTCAAACACTGGGGCCAGGACACACAGTTCTGGGCTGGTCACTGTGGAGGCCATGTGATCAGTTCCAGTGTGGTTGTGCGGGCCCAGCTGTCTTAGTCAAGGGGTGTCCCTGCAAAACAACCTGACCAGTGCCTTCCAGGTCCTGGGACCATTAGCCAGGACTTCTCGTTAGCCCAAGGGCAAGTACCTCCCTGGCATCCTGGGTGCTCCAGGATCCATTTGAGGGTCGTGCTGGGCCCCCTCTTCAGGTTCTAGAAATTGCTAGAAGAGAGTTCTTTCTTCAGAGCTACACACTGCTGTTATAGGGCAGTCCTTCCCCTGATGGTGAGCACAGAGGAATGCTGGTGTTAGAGAGGGCTCTTTGTCCTCCCCCCGGAGACCCTCTGATTCAGCCCCAGTCCCCTCTGCCCTGTCTTCTCTCCTTTCTGCTTTCGGGGGTTTTATCAATCCCTTTAGAGAAGGCCTCTCATCTCAAGTAAAATCTCTTCCTTACGGCTGGGAAAATTCCAGCCACCTTGGGTGGCAAACTTACCCTCCCGCAGCTTCAAGGCTGGGACCAGGTCTCGCAGGTGAAAGTCAGCTCAAAAAATGTTTGGAGATCTTCAAGGACCCCTGTGATTGCATGGTGTATAAAATTTTTTATTTTGAAATTTTCCGCAAACATTGAGAGAATATATCAGCAACAACTATCTGCCAATCATATGTAATAAATTTATTATTTTGCAAAAAATATAAATATGAAAGTATATTTTAATGATGTGCTTTTTTGGTATTGATCTTTCATAGGTTTTACTTATGACGTTAAAAATTAAATTACCTGACTATAAGTAGGAAAGGGTACCATATATTTAAGGAAGGTGTCAGAAACGAGTTTAACTTAAATATAGATTATGTAGTCACAGAGCATCATGGATAGCCAGTTCATTCTGATCTGAAGAAACTGCTGGACCCAGCTGTTTGATCAAAAGCTGTATCTTTTTTCTTCTTACTATTGTATTCATTTTGAAAGAAAGGCAATAGTAAGTTTTAGCTATGTTTTTAGTCCTTTAAGATGGTGTCTGGTTTATGCATCACATAAAATGAAAATAAAGGTATACAAGCTAGAAAAGTTTATTCTGACACTTTTAAGCCAGTTTGGTGACTTGCTTGCTGGTCATTCGGACATGTACAGGATGGGCCCTAATGGGAATGTCCTGTGGTTATGAGTAGCAGCACTGAATGGATGGCCACAATGTATTGCTTTTATCGGATTTGTTCTATACTTAGCCTCTTGTGCCTAGCAAAGTAAGCTCAATCAAATCTGTGTGTTATACCTCATGCCATTTAAGAAACACTGTCCTGTGCCACTTTTTCAGTGATGTGAAGATCAGTGTGATATATATGATCTCGGAGCCGCTCAGGAACAATTCTACTTTCTTTTTTGCTCTCAAGTGAAGTGATTGCAATATCATCATTTTTAAGCCTAACTCGTTATCCAAAAGTGACGTCAACCCCTTGAGTCCTACATAGTCCTTCTCTGAGGCTTGCCAGTTTCTCACCATCAGCTCCAAAGGCCTGATAATGGCTGTGCCACCTGGCCCCTGTTGATTGTGCCTGCCACACTCTGCTTGGCAGTGAAAAGGGAAGACTTTCACATCAAAGCAGGAAATCCAGCCTTGTCTTTTATCTGCCTTTGTCTTATCCCATTGTGTATACTTGATTGGACTACTTCCTTAGTCGTCAAGTTGTAAGGGTGTAGTCAAGAAATCGTCATGATGTGAGTTTCTCTTATTGCTGGAATGGTCTTAAAGGTTCCTTTTTCACAGCTGAGCCATTACTTCATCAAGAACTCTTTTCCTTGTGGGTAAATTACAACAATAGTTGAAAAAGGAGTCAAGCCTTTGAAGCAGCAAGGATATTTGTAAGAAAGAACATTTTTAAAATAATGGCCATATATTAATTGTGTGCTTCTCAAAATAAAAATATTTGAAGATTCTTATACTTGCATGGAAACACTACTAAGTTTTTCTCTACCTTCTTAGTATAGAGACAGCAAAAGTTGTCATTTATGGAAATATGCCTTTTAAGATCTTTGTGAAGAAGAGAAAATTTATTTGAAGAAAGAAATAAAATATGGCAGGCTCTCCTGATGAAGTTCTCAGATGGCGTCTCTCTCCTGAGGGGTGTGGGCTGCAGCTTTTGAGCCTGTTGGGGCTCGCCTTGCCATTTTGTTCTGGCTATCAGTTACTGATCTTTAGGCACTGAGGTCACTGTTTGCCAATCAGAACATGCTGTGCTAGGACTGCCTGGGCTTCCTCTCTCATCTTGCCAGGTTTGGACCAGGAATGTAAAGGTGGTGCTTGCTGTGGGTGTGAATGTTTGTGGTCAACCTCCCCAGAAATTCTGCCCAAAGGCTGAGGTTAGTAACCCAAAGTGGCTTCCTTCTGAATTTCTTCCCTGCCCCTACACTCTGCTCTTAAAAAGTTTTGAACTTCTTCTGTCTTTGTAATTGCTACTAATTATTCAAGCCCAAGGTCATTTACTTCTTCTGTAGTTAAATTCAGTTCATGAGACAGGCGTTGATCAACTCTGTGTAAGTCACTCTGCTATATTATGTGAGAAGTACAAAGGTAAACAGGTATGGTTTCTTTATTCAAAGAAATTATAGCCTAACACAGAAGGATTTGTACGTAAATGTCACAGGATTAATTTGATTCTAAGAAATGGAATCCTGTTTGAGCTCATTTAAATAAACGTGGATACTGGGTATTCACCCCAAAGATATAAATGTAGGGATCCAAAAGGGTACGTGCACCCCGATGTTTATAGCAGCAATGTCCACAATAGCCAAACTGTGGAAAGAGCCAAGATGTCCATCGACAGATGAATGGATAAAGATGTGGTGTATATATATATATGTATATATACATATATATATATACACACATACACACACACATACACACACACAATGGAATATTATGCAGCCATCAAAAGGAATGAGATCTTGCCATTTGCAATGACGTGGATGGAACTGGAGGGTGTTATCCTGAGCGAAATAAGTCAATCAGAGAAAGACATGTATCATATGACCTCACTGATATGAGGAATTCTTAATCTCAGGAAACAAACTGAGGGTTGCTGGAGTGGTGGGGGGTGGGAGGGATGGGGTGGCTGGGTGATAGACATTGGGGAGGGTATGTGCTATGGTGAGCGCTGTGAATTGTGCAAGACTGTTGACTCACAAATCTGTACCTCTGAAACAAATAATGCGATATATGTTAAAAAAAAAAAAGATAGCAGGAGGGTAAGAATGAAGGGGGGGAGTCAGAGGGGGAGAGGAACCATGAGAGATGAGGGACTCTGAAAAACAAACTGAGGGTTCTAGAAGGGAGTGGGGAGGGAGGATGGGTTAGCCTGGTGATGGGTATTAAAGAGGGCATGTTCTCCATGGAGCACTGGGTGTTATACACAAACAATGAATCATGGAACACTACATCAGAAACTAATGATGTACTGTATGGTGATTAACATAACAATAAAAATTTAAAAAAATAAAAGTGGAAATTAATATAAGAAACTGGTGGTTCTCCTAAACCCCAGGGCAGGAAATGGAGGCAGGCCTCATGAGGATCTCAGAACTAACAAGGTGGCAAAAGAATCACAGCTTCTCTCTTGACAATCCTGACAAGTCCAGCCACCTACCTGGTATCTTTTCTGTACCCCTTTCTGCACATGAGCTGTATTATTCTGCATTGCTCTACACAGTAGCCGCCTGCCTGCTCAAAAGCGTACGTGGCCCCAAAATGGCACTGCCTGTCCTCTGCAGGTCACATACTGAGTCTAGATCACAATACAGAATTTCTAGGGTAGAAAATCTTACTGGTCTAGCTTGAGACAGTTATTTGCCCTGATCAGTAGTTTTAACCAGAGGTAGTGGTCCAAGGTCCCATGCCCACTGCCCAATCAGCAGGGATTGTGGGACTTGAGTCTCTGGGAACGAGTGTGGATAAAGCAGACAGACCAAATGGCCTGTCTCTTAAGCTCTAGCTGTAGTATGAAGCAGAATGTTGTAAGTTCTTCCATAGGAATAAAGTAGTTTTGTGGAAGTTTAGAGGACATGGGTGAAGGGAGAAATCTCGGATTGTTTCTGAGAAAACGGAAGCCTCTTTGATGAAAGATCACTCAGACGGAGAGTCCAGAGTGAACGGGAGGGGACAGGATTGAAAGCAAGCCGTGATAACAGGCTATTGTATTAGCACAGAGGAGATCT